TCTAGAATATCAGGCGAATAATACCCCGACTTTGCCTCCAACTCCTTATCAGTCCTGTCCAAGATGTTATGAGCATTTTAGATCATTCCGAAGTTTCTCAAATTGAAATTGTAAATGTCTATATTCCGCCCCTCAACAGCATTGGGGCCAGTTATCGTCCAAGCATAATTCATCTGCAGTTGGGATGAAATAACGTTCTGAGCCATCAACACTTCCAAAACGGTTGCGCAAAAAACATGTATATACCAGGAAGCAATTGTAGGTGTGTGGATTAATTATCCATCGCTACAACAAAAATCAGCTTTGAAAAGGACTGTTCCTAGAATGAAGACAAATGTCAAACTTTGACAAATTTGAATTTAATTCGCATATGCAAGTTTCGCATCAGGGCGGAATAAATACAAGTTATCAATGTACGACATTTGTAAAGCCACATAGCCCAATATGCCTGATGAGCCGCTTAACCAACGGCGAAACGCGTCACATAATGGTGGGTACGTAGGTTCTTCTCCTGGCTTTCCTTTTCATTGCAAAACTTAGATCATCAAGCTCGACTCGTAAGAGTATAAATAACCACTTAAAATTACTTTCAAATGATCACTGCCCTTACAAGGGAAAATTAAAATAACAAAAAGTAGGGAGATAAGAAAATTGTTTTTGAGATGGTTTTCTTCACTTCCAAACGATACTCGCGGTAATCTTTTGCGAACCAGTTAGACGAATTCGATTTCACTTCCATCAACAAGGGATCCTCCCCCCAGAGACACTGCTAGGCATTCGAGCTCTCCAGACATTACTACAGTCAGTCCATCACCCATTCCGTATACTTCCTGGAAAACCAATGTCGCTTTAAATTCAGAACATATTCCCATTCTGGTCAATGAAGAGAAACCCAGCGATTGTGTGGATCCCGACACTGACACGGCTTCACAAAATTCATTGAGGACTCCTTAAGTGTGAAAGCGTCAAAACGCTTCATTCCAGCGGGCAGAATTCCTCTAATGAAAACAAATTATCCATCCAGATTTGGCATATTAACGTGACCAACTTCGTGCCCAAAGCCCCGCTAACTAATAGAATGTTTACACTAATAGAATCGTTAACCCAGTGGGTTTAAATTGTCAATTCCTTTGCATAGACGTCAAATAAATCCTCATAAAGTAGGTTAACCCGGTAAAAAGTTCTAATGTATATGCCGTTTAAGCTGCTAAGCGCTGAAGTAGATATTTTTGTCCATGAGCACTACAATATACATAAATTCTAAGCAGCTATGTTCTACAATTAAGAGTCTATTTGGTTCCAAAAGAAAGAAAAAATGCCAGCCATTTCCAATACTTACATCCGACGACGATAGTGAAATCTATCATAGTTTTAAGTAAACTTGACACCAGTTTATTTATTATCCTGAGGATGCAATTTAAATCAATTGCGAAATATTAAACGAGAAAAAAAACAAAAAACTAGACCTCAAGCCCGAACAAATACATTATTTTATTAGTATAATCATCAAAAGGTCGAACAAAACACAGAATATTTCCTTCAATAAAATGCAGCATTCAAAAAAATTGCATTGCATTTCTGCCGCCAATTCATTGAGAATTCATCTTCAACAAATTGTATTAAGCGGACAGTTATCCGGAGATGCAAAAATCTTTAAACGAAATCCATGCCATTTAAAGCCCTAATTATGCACGATTGTTCGCTATAATAGACCTTTTATATAAAGTTCATATAAATATCTCTTACACACTCTAATTTGGAGGCTGTAGAAGTTCCTCTGTCCTATATAAAGTGTGAGTACATTGAAAACATAAAACGTATTTTTTTGCAAAATAGTTTTTTTTGATTTGTCATATTATACAGGTTCTCGGACGAGAATCCGTATTTGCGTAGAAGATTTGGTAATTTTTTATGTGGCTTAATCCGGAGACCTTTTTTTAATTATCCAAAGTTCCTGGATCAGTCTGATGTGTATTTTACCTTTTATTTTTTCCATCAGGGCCAGGGTTGCCGCCTCGTTTCGATGGAGATTAATCTGGATGACTTCTATCAGTTGTCCTCCAGTAACCGGTTTTCTAGGGAGTCCATGATCTCCTCCTCGGCTCCTTCCTCTTTGTTGCTGGGTGTTTTCCCCTCGCTGTTGTCTTTGGTTTCATCGTCTCCAATCCTTGCCTGCCCGATTTAGAAGTACACAACGTTGGACACGTAGTGCGCCTTGCCCTTGGTCTTAGCCAGACTTGCCATTGAAGACCTGTCCAAGCCTAACACAAATAGAATCCCTTCCTCGTTCTCCTCCCTGCGGAAGACTTCCCCTTTCTTCACATGCAGTGTCTTGTTTTGTATGCTGAAGACCTCGAGCAAGCGTTCCGTGTCGAAATCGCTGCCCCAACCTCTGATAAAGACTGTAGCCTTTTGGAGTCGAAGAATGTCTTGCTTGAGTTTCATTGTTCCATCTATGGACCCAATGCTTGCCACTAGCTTCCTCATGACTTCTATGCTTTTTGGAGTTTCAAATTCCAGCATTAGATAGTCCCATTTGAAACCACAGCTATACAGGTCAAAGGAGTCTCCTACTTGTCGTAGGTACAGTAAGATTTAGCGAGGAATATGAATATATCTGCCACGAAATCTTCTGTCACATTGTTCACCACATGGAGATGAGAATACCATTGAATGTGCAGGTTAAGGTGCATACAATTCCTACCACCAACTTCCTCAAAATTCTGGAGGACACATTTGACATCATGTTGAATTCGTCCGCGCATGACATCATGTTGAATTCGTCCTTGCTGGCAACACTAGGGGATAGATAAGGAAAACTTGTTGATCTCTTACTAAACGATAGGTCGGTCTGTGGCCAGTTATGCGGTGCTAGTGTGGCCTGCGAATACTATTGTTCACAATCGGGAAATATTCAGACCTGTCAGAACGCCGCCATGAGAACTGCAACAGGGTGACACCTCATGACACCAGACCACCATCTTCAATATGCTTAACGGAAGGGAGCCTCTAGATCAAGTTGGATATAGAGCAGGTCTAAATAGTATTCATACTGATGGAGTTGCCGCAGCGCTGTATGAATACAGAGTCCACGAATCTCACAGTGTAGCCGTCTAAATTCGTATTGGGCGCCATTGAACGCATTGTGGATAACATGTGACTGCCATGGGGTAATCCTCACTGTGGGCACAACTAGGGATGCGTAGTCGAGCGCAAAAGTAGATTTTTTACTCTTACAAAAATTTCAATTGTTAGACTTTTCGATTTTTTTCCTTTCACCAAAAAGTCCACTTTTCGATCTTTCAATTTTGTCAAACCTGTTCAAAATAGATTTTCGACTGCATAGGTCTGATTTTTTTAAAACGGATTATGAAGCACTTAGAAGCACGCCGCAAGCTGCCTTGGATGTAATTGGATATTCCAGGCGGCGAGTTGTGCTCTGAGACTACGGGGAAAGGGCACGTGAAGATAGATGCACAGTAAATATTCCTAACAGGTAACGCTGGACAAAGTTCCTCCTTACCTCTGGCTGGTCTGTGAATATATACAGACGTGTCGAAGATGGAGGAAGGCACTGGTGCAGATATTTACTGCAAGGAATTAGCTATAAATAACCAATATAAACTCAACAACCTCTCTAACGGGTTTAAGTCCGATATCCGGAACAGCTACTGTGAGAAAGCCTGCAGCAGATTATTACCGGAAACTGGATGCAGGATTTTAAAAACTATCCGGCCTGAGTTCTCACATCGTAGAACTACTTCGTTGATGTCCTTTCACTGCAGGGTATATATCACTCACTTCCAAATGAGACATAAATTAAGTGGATTATTGCCGTTTATGTGAGCATTAGGAAGAGTTGGAAATAATTGAATATATACTCTGTAAATTTCCATCGCTAAGTAGCAGAAACATCGACTGTTTGACAAATATGAAATTGTGTCTCTAGCTTTCTTCTCCGGAATAGTACCCAAAAAGATTTTTAGCTTTCTTAAAATTTGAGATGTTTCCGAGAGATACGACTGCTAAACAACTGGTGGCTGTACATATTTTAACCTAATCTTCCTGTATATAGGGCAAACATTTAATAAAGTCACACTGGATCCATTAGTAACTCGCAAAATTCAGAATTTTGTCTATTCTAATGGGATGGGTTGATATAATGCTGAAAAGCAGGAAAACCAATGCAAGCAATGGGAGAGAGAACCTATAAAAGCTGTCGTGCCTATAAAAGCTATCGGGAATAGAAAAAATTAATAAGTATGCCAGCAAGAACCTTTTCAAAATTGGACTGGGCTATCTATATCTCATAATAAATTATATGTTTAGCAGGATTTATATCTGAATGCAGTTCCAAAATGTTGAAAATATACAATTATAGAACATGTATGTATTTTTGCTATAACGTTTTTAAAGGTTCCCTGTCTATAGACTGGGATATAATGGAAAGCCTTAAAAACACCGAAAATGGGGACTATACTAGATCTTGATTTTATTTATTATGGGGTCTCCGATATATATTTCGAGGTGTGGCAATGTATTTTTGACAAATGACAATGACCCGTTTTTTTGCCGATTTGTATATAAATTCCAAATAAATTATCTGCATCATTGTGTTCGGTTTTTCGTAAAGTGACTTTATTTTCTATTAAAGAGTTATGGTAATTATTTATCATAATGTTCTGGTTGTTTTACTCATAATGTGTTGTTGTAGTTGTTGTTGTTGGTTGATTTATTTTTCTTGTTTTTTTGTTTAAATTATATTTAATATTATTATTATCGTTTCTTGCCTTTCTTCTGTTATATAGAGAAGAGGGTTTTGTTGTTGTTGTCGGTTGTTCTTGTGTGTAGTAGTATAATAATGTTCTTGATGTTCTGGTTGTTGTAGTTGATGTTGTAGTGTTTCCATAATTTTGCTCATATTCATCATCAGCATTCAAACATCATTATGATTTTTGTTGTTGTTTTTAAATGGATTTTGGATTTTTGTTTTCCTTACATGTTGTTTGTTTTTCATTCTTTTTTTGTTTGTTTTTTTTAATTAAATTTAAATTTTAAATATTTGTTTATTTATAATTATCAGCATAATAATAAATTTTTCAAATCTCTCGTTGGAAATTTTATTTTCTGAAATAAAACAAAAGAAAAAATTAAATACATTTTACAAAAATATATATTGCATCAGTAAGAGAGTTTAACATACCTACAAAAAGACATCACTTGCAGCAATTGGTCGTCTGTCGGTTATTTTCATTTTCATTTAGCCTTCTACCGGCACCCGCCCCTTGATTATTAGCTCCATCGTTTTTAGGTAATTTCTTGGCTAAGGAGGGAAAAATTAAAGTTAATTTTTGTAATGTTAATGTTTGTGCTGTGAGTGAGTGTGTTCTCATGATGAACTTACCAATTGCCATGAAAATGTCATTCACATTCATGCCGGTTTTTGCTGAGGTCTCCATGAATAACAAACCATTTTCTTCAGCATACTGTTTAGCTTCCTCATATTCTACAACACGGATATTTGAAAGATCTGCTTTATTACCAGCCAAGGCAATAACAATGTTAGGAGAGGCCTGAAAATAGTTGAAGTAGAAATTGAATGTAAAGAGCTGCAGAAGGGTAATGAAGTTAACATAATTGGCAAGTATGGATATTACATACATCCAGAAGCGGTGATGAGGGACTTGCATAGTGTATAACTGCCCGGGATGGGGATACCACCAATAGCGTTATTTGTCGTATATAAGTCCACTTTTAGAAGGTAATAACCGCCTGGTACTAGGGAATTTCAATCTGCGCCATGAGTTGTGGTCCGACCATAGGGATATTGCTCTAGCCGAGCAATTTTATATATAACATTTTGCACGGTAAATGAGTATGCTCCCACAAAAATAAGGAGAGGTTTGGCGCAACACGCCAGATATGGCCATTGTGGCACCAGGCCTGATAAATATGGAAACCTATCATCCCGTTATTTATTTATTTATTTTTTTTTTGTACAGACCGCCTCTCTGTACTGGTGTCCGGAAACAGACCACTCGACATCATAAATATGGGTAGCTGAGAGAACTTTCCTTAATATATCTGTTAGACGAATACACAAAGTAAAGCCAAACGGAGACTGTGCAAAGTAAGACCAATGACCAGAAAGAGAGACGGTATTGGGCAATGAAGGTGAAGAACTTCGTCGTACGATCGCTAAAGACCCATGATTGAGAGAACTTACTCATGATGTCAACAGTGTAGTCGGTGAGCATATAAAGAAAAATTGCTTGTAAATGCTACATTGAGATCTGAACAAGTAAATTGTAGGAAATATTAAGTCACTCTCGAACCCTAGAAGGAATATCGATAGGATGAATGTTACATTTAACGACATAATTGTGACATGTCCTAAAAGCGTGTGTCTGTTATTTTAAGCGGCAGTTTATGTTGCCTTGGGTGATAGGGCGAAAAGGAGTGTGATGTTTTTAAGAACAATCCACAATTTACGAAGTAAAAACTTTGCGGATGCGAAGTCATCCAAATCATATTTTCACAGGCTGTTTTAGAGCACCGAGAGTGACAGGACAAACAGGAATTTGTTAAATCATATAGGATAATGCTTAAGCAACTGGATGAATGAGTCGAGTATAGAATATGTGCCCTCAATTTGTCGGGAAGCCATCGCAATTGAAGCTTGGTAAGAATACCAAGTGCCATGTCCATTCAATAAGTATATTTTATTGACCCTGTACTTATCGAAGGCCTTCGATAGTGACAATTACGCAAATCTGTTAAAAAAATTTATAGAGAAGAATTGTATGTGTGGACACCAATCATATATGGAATTCAGAAACAGAAAACCCGTCGAGTGAAACATGGAGTTTCCCCATTGGGAACTATATATACTCTACCATTCCGACATTCCACAAACATCGAACGCCATAGAGATGTTAATGTTTACAAATACGGTCATGATATGTTTGAGGGAATAAACATCTACATTGCTGATCTTCTAATCCATAGCTGCACTATTCACCACTTGGACAGCAGAAATTAAGCTTCCACTGAGCATAATAGTCAAGAAGTAGAAACAAGTTCCGCAAGTCGTTGAAGGAAACACTTGACAAAAATAAATTGCTATTGAACTATTGCGATGCAATAGATCTGTCGGTGACAATCTGCCGTGTCGTGTCAATGTGGTTTGTGAATACTAGCATACAAAACTATCAGAATTTTGACATGAGAACTGCAGCAGCTTAAACATTATTTTTCATTACGGCAGCACAGATACGAGGCATTGAATGAATAAAATGTTCAATTTGGTCCTTGGATGTACTATTCCTCGCATTCTGAACCTTTGAGAAGAGGTTATGTCGTTTGTGTAATTCTTCTGATTTTGCTATCTATGATACTACAAATATTTTTCCTATAGGGTGATTGTGTTGGCCATTATATAACCCTGATTTATGACTACCGCAACCAATCTTTGACACGTTTTGGTGTATGTGTGGGGGGTTATTGTCATACTGAAACACCCAAAAAGCTGTATATTTTCTTCAGCGTTTTCCAACACATTTGTATAAACAAACCGATCCATTATTTCATAAATCTCGGAAATATATCGAACTACCTATCCTCCGTGCCTCCCAGAATCCTTTCAATTTTTGGACTTTATCGTGTAATTTTTTTCATGTCTGAGTGTTTAATATTTAACATTAATTCATCCGAGAGCATAATATTTTTCCACTGAGTCGAATTCCAATTAATATGAGCTTTTGTGAAAATAAATCTGGCTTTCCGATTCTTTTCAGAAGTAAAATAACTTTCTTGATAGTTTCCGGGCATATAGGACTGCTACTATAGCTCACCCACGCTCTGTTCTTGAGGTTATATCCAACGATAACCGTCTCACAAATTCCGTTGAACTCTTAAATAGAGAGAAATAAGAAAACACTGATTTATTCATGGAATATATCTTCGAAATCATTTTCTGTGATAAATTATTTTCACAATCTCTGGTAATTAGCTGTTTTATCAGTGAACTGTATTTGTTTCTATTCATTTTTATATTTTTTGGCAGTAAGACAAGATTCAAAACTAGACACATGTTATTGTAATAAATTTTATTTGAAAATGATCTATAACGGTAAATATAACTGAAATTTTAGAGCTCATCTGTTTGTACAGTAATGTAATGTTGCTTCAGTTTTGTCCAAGCAAAGACAATTCCTTTATGCATAAATTTTAAATTTTTTTAATGAACTTTACATTAACGCTTTTGTTTCTTTTTTTATATGAATAAAGTACCCGATAAAAAAAAACTGAAAAAAAACAGCGCGATATCTTTATTTTTTAAAAAGTTTTGTGGCATTTATTAACATTGCAATTTTAGATGCTTTAGTTTTGGACACCTGTGTATATCTCAATGATCTAGAGAGAAAGTTCCTACGGTAAAAGGGAGAATCCATAAAGGAACAGGCCTATAATTGAGGAATGCATTATATTCCCTCAGAAGCAGTGATTCAGGATATGAACAAACCAATACCATGTGAATACAAAACAACAGAACGATAGCTGCCAGGCACTAGCCAAATATGATTGGTTTTATTTAATTTAGCTAGTGCAGCAGCAGCCATAATGACCCCAACTTCACAGCTCGATACCAAGCCCTACATGTGGACTGGGACCTGACAATATGATGTATCTATTCAACTGCTATCAGAAGCTGTTTGTTTCGCAACTAATTCCAGTTGCATTATTTTCAGTTTCTTCAAGCAAGAACTACTGATTTTCACGACATTGAGGTCTAGGATCCTAAACGACCAGAGTTTCATTTTTTCTATCTACTATCATCTCAGTCGTCGTAACCGACAGATATATACCCTCAGCCTATGGTTTGCGGTGAAGGTATTAGGAGTTACACACAAGTTTTATTATTCCTTTTATATAAGGTAAATGTTTTTATCAAAGATTTTTCGGATTTAATTTGATCAATTCGATTAATCAAATAAAATTTACAAAATTATATTATATTTATGCTTTTTTTGGGAAGGTACCAGAGGAGAGGGCAGACGGATCCCAACTTTGGGCTTGATCTAGGTTTTGTAAAGATAATAGGTTGTGTAAAGTTTGGTTAAAATTGGACATTCCATTAGGTTTGTAAACTTTTTATTATACCCGCCCCAGGGTTTCTTGTATCGCATATTCAGATTTAGCAAAAATAGCTTTTTGTAAAATTGTAATTGTATCCGGCCCGGCCCAAAGTTTCTGGTATCGCATATTAAGATTTAGCAAATGGTGAGTTTTGTAAAGTCGGCATCTTATTTTCAAAAAAGGAGGTTGCAAAAGAGGCAAACACCAAGTCCCAAAATTACCTCTGTCGAAACCTCTTACAAATTGAAAACATGCTCTTGAATGCTTCACCGAGCACGAAAAAAAGAAATACCACAAAGATGCGATAATGAGGACTTAGGACTTTATATCGAGAATGAACGATGTTTCAAAACGTGTGGAACATGTTACGCACAAACAAGTTTCAAATATATTGAAAGAACAAAAGTATAATGTTAAAGTGACCATTGAGACAAAGTTATTGTGTGAAAGGGAAGACATCACCTTGAGGGGAAGTAAAGTCTCCTGAATACTGTACAGAGTACACCAAAATATGCAACATACCTGAGTACAAGTTAATAGAAAATGTTTTCTTTGCCACGTAGAATTATAATGAACAGAAGGATACCATGTCAGACAATTATAATGGAGTGCGATTTTTGACCACAAACTAAGTTAAAAAATAAGGAAGATATTCACCGATTGGCTTTATCCTAGTTCATACGATAACTATACACTCACAGAGAAACGTGTAAAAATTTGGAATCGATTGGGTTATTAGTGCATTCACAAAAGAGAAAAACGCGTTTAAAGTCTGAGAAGCCCTTTAGCCGTCACTTGATGCTGACACAATAAATCGGCTATACCTTCAAGAGTTCTTGAGATTTTCACTTGAAATTTTGTAAGGACATTCTTGAATTAGTGTAGATTCGAATTAAATCAAAAAAAAAAAGTTTAAATGCAACTGAAGTATATTCTTTACAATTTTGGAAATTTGCTCATTCTTTAGAAAATTCAAAAAGAATATTTCGAGAAGCCAATAAATCTTTCAAATTATTATATTCATATTGTGAAGCACGATATATTGAACAGCATGATTGCGTACAAATATAGAAGAAAATATATATTAAGGAAGATTTATTTCTAAAAAGCATGTAAATTTAAATTAAGGCAAAACATATATATTAAGGAAGGCAAAATATGACTCTTTTTTTTGGTATTTGATTTAGTTTGGTATTTGATTTTCTCCCGGCAGCAATTTACCCTTATCTATTTTATGTATTTTGAATGGCCAACTCATGTTTTCCCCATATCGATGATTTTGTATAGAATACCCTGACAACAAAACTTCTTTATACAATATAACGTAGCATGTATAAATGACCAGCAGTACACGATGGAATGCCATTCATAAAAAAAAAACAAAAGCAAAGGCCAGTGAGAAACAATTAAATTAAAATATCAAAAATTCTGCGCAATTCGTAATTATTGGAATCAATGAACTTTATGATTACAGCAGTCTTGGCAAACACAAAACAAAAAAAAAACAATTCAGTTAAAATAACTGATAAATTTAATAAACCAATGCAACAATGGTGAATAATAGCAATAAAGAGAGGAAGAGGAAAGCAAATATGGTGATACGACGATAATCAGTGGGAAAAGTACGACAATAATCTAATAAACACAAAATACTGTGTTGTGTTTGTTGGTGAACCAGCCGCCCACAAATACAAAGGGGTAATGATGTTTGGACTACTAATACCGATAATAAATATTTTTTTGCAAAAAGACTTACTTGTTTATGCAGTTCCTTGACCCAGGTTTTTGCACGTTGAAAACTGTCTTGATTTTGTATATCATATACAACAATAGCGGCCTGCGCACCTCTGTAATACATGGGAGCTAAGCTGTGGTATCTGTAAATTTGAAAAAATAAAATAAATGTTAGCGAGTTACAAAAATGCTCAAAACAAAAAGAAAGCCTACCTTTCTTGTCCTGCAGTATCCCAAATTTCAAATTTCACCACTGTATCTTCTATACAGATGGTCTGTGTTAGGAATGCTGCTCCTATCGTACTCTCTTGATATTCATGAAATTGCCCCTTAACAAAACGTAACACCAATGATGATTTGCCCACAGCCGATTCGCCCAGCAATACCAATTTAAATTGGCAACTTTGAGATGTACCATTTGGACGTTGAGCTGTACCGCCGCCAGCAGAGCCGCCAGAACGTGGTGTTGTTGCCATTGTTGTTTTATGAATTTGTTGTTGTTGTTGTTGATTTGAGAGATTTCTTAACTTCTATATAAATATTCTAACGTTGTATCCTTGCCGTTAGAAGAATGGAACAAGAAAATATTTGTTTACCACTTTTACTTTTTTTGTTAGGTTATGTACTACACCACGTCGATGCACACAGACAGCAGAAAAATTATATATATTTATAGAAATCGAAACAAATATTTATTTGTTTCAAACGAAATATTTAATTAATAGGAAATATATATAAAAAAGAAGAGAGAAGAGAATAGTAGTTGTAGTAGTATGCGAATGTAATGAATTAATGCTGGTGTGGTAAGTATTCCTTGAAGGACGGTTAATCACACTTTCTTTGTTATAATATAACTGATGAATAATCTGAAAAAAAAAAATTAGAGAAAAAATAAATAAGATTACTGATTAGATTTGAATGTTAATTTATGTCGCAAATCTTGGATTGTTTTATTAAATGTTATTTCTTTTTAAATTTTATGGAAACAAAGAAAATGGCAAGTCAAAAAATGTGTAAAATTTGAGTTATTGTAAGTGTCATTCAGAGATTTTTATTGATCGGAAATGTTGATATGTTGATCTATGTTGAATGTAGAGACTCGGGTAGTTGCAAAACGTGGGCAACTACCTTGCAAACTGCATGTATATTTGTAATTTTTGGTATTGTAGCAGTTCCGAATATATCTCATTAATAAGGGTCAATAATACGATCAGGAGAGTTCATGGTCTATCTCGATTCCTTTTACCTGTTACACAAATATACATCATGTCATAATACTCTGTACCACAGTGTGGTGAAGGGTATACCAAAGTTGTAGCCTATATCGACCGCGTCCATAGTGAATCTGGAGACATTTCAAGCTTGTGTTAGACATGGTGGAATGAATTTGTTTCCAATAGGAATTTGCTACTATGAATGTGTATGGTTTCGTGTACAGTATTCATACGAAATTGTTCTATCTTCAAAAAAGGAAATCTGCCCTTGCGTGGCTGGAAGTTCTTCTATAATGCTAAGGCAGGGGTCCACAAAAATTTTTTGTGAACCTTTGAGATTTGTCCATCAACTATTTTACAGTCATAATCCTGGTTCTGAATTGGATGTGATGTTTTATGGCTCTGAAGAAAGCCTCAAAGAATCTTTCTTACGGGCTCTCCTTTCGAATGGCCAAGACACGCCCTTACCTACCTCCGCACTGTTGGCACTGTAGAGTAAGTTGAGTAGGCTTGGAAACGAAATTGGGATAAAACCAATCTGGTTTTCTGGGCAGCTCACGTACTTCAGCACCGATGGGTGGCGAGCAGTGTTGCCAAAACTTTGTTCATAAAAAATGCTAAATTTTGTTTAAAAAAAGCTATAAAGTACTAAAAAAATATAGAGAGAGTTTTGCTTATGCAAATAATGCATCTGCATTCCTGTATACACACAAGGTGGAGTAAGTGTATGTTAACCTGAGACCCAATTTATTCTTAATCAGAATAAAATTCTATGTCGATTTAGCCATGTCCGTCTTTGAATTACTACTACTTCTGGAATGTTTGGTATTGAAAATGGGATATATCGGTCTTTTTTAGGGTAACTACATATAACGGTATTCGATATTTTCAAGCTTTGGGCAAGTTTTCCAGCCACATTTGCTGTAATTTGTATGTTTCGTTCTCGCTGGGTGCAACCGTTTTACAGCCGAAAACGGTTGTTCTCATTGGATCAAAAATCTACGTACCGCAAATTATCAATATGGGTCCATGTTTCGCAGTAGAACTCATAGAGCGATACCTCCATTATTCGGTGTTTTGATGACATAAGGCACGTTTTTCAACCTATCCTAACCTAACCTAGGGTAGCATATATTTATGCGTACTTTTAATGTTTAAGAACCTTTTTTACACCAAAGTGGCAGTAATGTAAAAAAATATGTTTGCCGAACATTTTCGATGTAGATCCATCTTTTCATATAACCCCCACATAAAGTGGGAGTTAACACATTTTTGGTACTATGAAGTGGCTATAATTTGGTATTCTGCATTCCGGACAAATGAAAAAAACTTATTTAAAGAAAGTTTCCAATTTATGTTCATGATTTATTTTTACATCGCTCCCACCCAAAGGCCCCGCTTATTTTGTTTTTTTTTTCATATACGCAACTAAATGTCACAGTCACCATATGAAGTACCCCACCATTTGTTAAGAATATTTTAATACACACCAAAAGTTCGTTTGGCGGGTCTGTCTTTTTTAATTGTTCACAGATTTTCGGACACTGTTTAACATTTGAAAATCAAGGTTGATCAAATCGGTTATTCAATTCGCTTCAAATTAAATTTACAAGTTTATAAAATGTGGAGGTACCAGAAATAGAGCACCAACGGGTCCTACCTTCTGACTTATTCTGGACTTAGTAAAGATAAAAGGTTGTGCAAAGTTTGGTTCAAATTGGATAGTCAATTCTTCTGCTATTGTATTTATAAATATTGAAAACGTTGACCATATGCGAGGGAGGTATTCGATGATGGAGTGGACCAATGGGTCCCATCTTAATGCTTGGCAACGTTGTGCAAAGTTTGATTCAAATCGGACATCTCATTCTCCAGATATTGGATTTATAAATATATAAAATGTTGACGCTTTGTGGGGGAGGTACCAGAAAGAGGGGAGCAATGGGTCACATCTTCGAAGTTGATATAGGTTTGGTAAAGATAATAGGTTGTGCAATGTTTGGCTATAATCGGCCACTCCATTTGCATAATATTGGATTTATAAATATTGAAAATGTTGCCCATTTGTGGGTGAGGTACCAGAAGGAGTGGACCAATGGGTCACATCTTCGGAGTTAAAGATAATAGTCTGTGCAAAGACTGGTTCAAATCGGATAGTTTGCATGATATTATAAAATTAATAATTCGCACAATTTTGACCATTGTGTGGGGGTGGTACCAGAAGGAGTGGACCGATCGAACTTGAACTAAGTTTGGTAGAAATATAACGGTATGCAAAGTTTGGATGAAATCGGATACTCCCTTCGAGAGTTATCGCGCGTACCAGCCGGGCGGGCATTTGTAATTCGACTCCAAATTGTCTGAAACTGATTTGGTCCAAAGAAACATGGGGTCATTAGCCATAAGGCTGAGTGTATAATCATCGTTAGTTGACAGGGAATAATCTCAAGGATAATTTGGAATTGGCTATGACGGAAAGTCCCCTTTCCCTAATTAAATGGGAAGCTCACATGTCTTAGACGGAATGATCTGGTATTGTGTTAGGGAGATCGGTCTCTTAATTTATTTTATTCGGCTTTCTAATATACGCAATTTGTGGACGCGTCCGATAGCGTTCAGCCTTACTTCCCCTTGACGGGTGAAGAAGACGCTATGGAAACTATGGACTTAAGTGCCATCATCCAGTCAAAAAAGATTGACAAAACTGTATTACGACGTTGTTGACCCTAGCTAACTGGAAAAAAAATAATTCCAAGTTCGATTAAAAAACCAGAGAGCAATAGACACGATTTGCATATCTATGACCCACGAGGGAGGCTGTGAAAGTATCAAAAACATAAGGGGCTTTATTATACTGGAACCTGTTGAATATTTGGGACTAAAGTCTTCAAAATTCGAATAACGTAGCGTGGTCTTTTGAATTCTATGTCAAAACATGGAAAACTAATATCGAAGTTTTTCCTCCAATATGTTTTTCACCCTCCAATAACCCAAAATGCGGACAAAGCCTCTAAATTTTAGACAATGGAGCGGGGCTTTTGTATGTTGACTATTTTAAAACACGAATTAATATTGATTATGTATATATATCAGCCTCCAAAAAAAAATATTTTAAGCATGAACATTTGGGCTTCGAGATCAAGATATTCTTCCCATTCAGAAAAATTCACAGCTTCATAAGGCCACAAACGTGAAAACCTGTTGCAAATAAATTCCAAAAACAATGCCCATATAGAATCTGAATTAGGCCAGATAAACCAACAAAAAAACTTAATTCAATCACACATTTTTACATTGGACTCAGAGCTCGACTTAAGGTACCACAACAATACCCTCGATTCACCACACACCCTCCACAACCACTTCTCAGTCGACTACAATTTCACTAACTGCTAAATATGTTTGGAAAAAGCTTTTCGTTGGAATTTGTTTTTTTTTTACTTTGAACAAGTGTGTCGTCGGTTTTTGTATCTAAGCTGCGTCATTAGTTTGGTTGTTAAGATTTTCATATCTTATTTGATGTTGTTGCCAGTGTTCTCATGTCATGTATGTGTGACTGACTGCCGGGTCGCAATCTTATCTAGCTGTGTTTTTTTTCGTTTTTTTGTATTTTGTGGCGATTGTGATTATTTTGTACATATTTAGAACTAAAATCCATTTTGTGGACAATTTTTTTTGTTGCTTTCAAACACACACACAACTGTCGCATTGAAATTGTTTTTGTTTCTGTGCGGTGAATCATAAGAGTGTCTTTGCAATTTACAGTAGCGGCGGGGCGGATGTTGGTGGAAAAAAGGTATTCAAAAAAATCATGATTCAAGATATGGTGATATTGACCACCATCATAACTGTTAATAGAGACACATTTAGGAAGTTAGAGAACCGTTAGATTAATATGCAAAGATAATGACCATTATCTAACCTTCGGGTTTTAGTATGGGGTTTTTGGTTTCGACAGTGAAAACGAATGTTATCAAAAATTTTATGTTCTTTTTTCATATTTTTTGCTGTTTGACAAAGGGGCGTATTTCTTTTTGGATTTTGTTTATGTTGTAAATGGGAACTTATTATCAATAAAGGGGGCGAATGACCAGTTTGTGAATATTGAACTCATATTTATTTCTCGAAATTAATATGAATGCAAAAAAGTATATAACAAATATTGAATAACTTTTCATGATTTCAAGTTTCAAGTCTAGTTTTACAAGGAAGAAATAATCTAGTCTAACTGAGCGAAAATTTGATAAAATACACAATGTCATAACCCATTACCATCTGAAAAAACGCGTCATAAATATTCTTAAA